TGTTTGTTGAAATCAATTATAATAAGGTGTTTCTCTCATTTATAATGGTACGAAAAAGTGTAACAAGTCCTGGTTATAACACTTTTTAAGTGTAACATTTCCTGGTTTACACTTTCTTATATGTAACATTTCCTGGTTTACACTTTCTAATATGTGACATTTCCTGGTTTACACTTTCTAAAGTAACATTTCCTAGGTTACACTTTTAAGTAACTTTTCCGAGTTTACACTTTCTGAAGTGTAATATTTCCTGGTTTACTCTTTCCGATTTGTAACATTTCCGGGGTAACTTTTCTAAAGTGAAACATTTCCTGGTTTACTCTTTTTTAAGTGTAATATTTCCTGGTTTACATTTTCTGGTTTACCTTTTTTTAAGTGTAACATTTCCTGGTTTACACTTTCTAAAGTGTAATATTTCCTGGTTTACTCTTTCTTGGATAGAAACTGTCACTCCACTTGAATTATAATGAAATGTTCTGAGAAATAACAATAATAATGGTATGTATCTACAGCTTATATTTGGACGACTTAATGTTTTAGAATTTCCTAGGACATACTTTTTCATTTAGATCAGAGACCAGATCGTTTAATAAGTAATCCCCTTTATTCACAGACGCTGAACCTAAAGAGTAAAAACAAACAAACAAAAAACAACAACTAACAACGGTGTCTATAATGGACGTAAATGCTGATGCCACGTAACATTGCTACAATCAATCAACTTTCTGTAATGTACTCATCTATATTTCGTTTCCGAGACGATCTAACCATGTCATCAAACTTATCATACCTCATTTAATTTTTATGGCTATGTCCCCTTATTTTTCAGTCTACCTTATGCAATAATAAACCTAATTGTTGTTCATATGCAGACATTTACGTAAAATCTATTTTATAATATCATTAGTTGCAGCGTGCAGATAAAAGGAAATCTTTGTCGTTGACTACAGACATTCCCACTTATTAACTTCAGTAGCTGGGGCACAGATTACAAATGAACGATATCCGGTAAACCAGACCCAAAATCCTTGTCTGATGCGTTAAATTAAAATTCAATACTTTTGTATTCCTTATGCAACATTCCATAGGAAGTAGAAGATTTATTTCCCTTTTTTCTTTATAAACCCCACCCACACTGTAGTGTTGGGGCATTAATATCTGATAGATTATCGGGATATCTTTTCCTATTTTCCACAAGAGAACATTTTATCTTTCATCTTCAGTATATTTCTCTACAATCGTTGTCATATTGTCAGGAGAGTTCATTTCCAAGAACAGTCTGTCTTAATGACGCATCTGATTGGTCTGAAGAAGGGTTAGCAACCATGAATCTAGCACTACGTGTTGATAATCCGGGTACTGTATGTTTGTCTAAACATCCAACAAAGAGTTTCCTCACGTTTTAAGGCATGGCACTTGAATGATAATTCTAAGAACCGCGAACAAACCCAGTCTTGTCATAAATATTAACTCTACAACTGACTCTGTAAGAAAGAGAAAAAAGGCCGGACTCGGACCCATTTGTGTTAACGTCTTTCCACCTTCGTGTGATGTTCTGTGGAATTGCCCCCCCCCCCCCCCAAATGAAGAATTGAAGTGTTTAGGATGTTCTTATGCCAATATATTTACACACACCCCAGTCTGGAACACTTCTCTAAGGTACATTGTCACAAAGTTACTGTTTCCCAGAGATTATGATACCAGGTAATTTACTATTCCCCTGTAAAAGGCCTATTTTTTTTTTTTTATTTTATTAGAAAACACATGCATTCTAAACTAAGTGCCTTTTCTTTAGCAGATCTTGAATGGTCTATAAATAAGAAATATGTAATAAAATTGTCTGGATTTAAGGATAAATAACACAAACATTTTTTTTCTTTTAAAATTCAAACATATTTCCATTTTTTAATTAAATTTCAATAGAAAGAAATACTTTTAAAGAATAGCAATATAACTTTTCTGTGTGAGAGGTAAGAAAAATTATTTGTGCTACTTTAAAAGGCCTTGACAGAGACTATATTATATAAATATGAGAAAATCATTGTCAACCGAGGCGCAGCCGATTTCAAGATTCATATTTTTGATCTGTTGCAAACAATTTATCTTTTTACTGTTATGTTATGAAGTAGGCAGAAAACAATTAAAGGAATTTTTTCTCACATAGTATTTCAGTTTCCCCCCTTTTTCAAAAGAAATAAATAAGACAATATTATCAAGGAGAATACTATTATTGAAAACTAGTCCCCGATGTATAAATGTGGTATTATCAAAAGTCATAAAACTTAGTGTAGCGTGGGATAAACTATCTGGATACTAGTTAGTCTTTGACATTTTACATATGTTTACCCAAACATGGAGTTGATTTCTTTTATTTAACACCGCGGTGCGATGGAATTTGATAAGAGTACAAAACTAATGTAAATACAAATATAATTACAGCTGATCCTCTAGTGACGCAGGAAGATTATTTATTCTATTCTTCCATTTTTTAATCATTACAGAAATTCAATTTTGACGCTGCATACATGTTTGATCTATATCCATTACCCCTGTATCTTATTTTAATTATAATTAAATCACACGCTAATGAGCAAATATTAGAAATATACTAGTGTCTTGTTCATATATTTGAAATAGATTATACCCATTGAGCTGTATGTCAATTTATTTTACTTGATGATAAATATCTTAAAATGTTTGTTTCTTTGAAAAACCGATAATGAACAGGGCCCTCTCTTCTGACTTCGATTCCAAGAAACGAGTCCTGGAAACAAATAATAGTCCCTGAAAACAACGTCTTTTATCCACTAAGAGCATACCAGGGCTGCTGCGAAACGTAATGAGTTTTCTCTTCTTTACGTTCATTAGGTTTCAATTATTGCTATTTAAATCCCCGTCTGTCGTTATCCGATATTTAAACCGAAATAAATCAATCGCGAGGTCGTAGAGGATCGATATATTACCGAGAGGATATCGATAGCCAGATTGGTTCTACTCACTTCTAGCGTGCATAAAGGCATACCTCCCGCTGTTACGGAATATATCAATGTTGACTATTGGTTTTTCCATTTATTATGAAAAGATTTACCAAACATTAACATGCAATACAACTTAAAGAATTTCAAAATCAGTCAGCGACATAAAATGATATATGTGACGTCACAAACACCTTTCTATGGGCAAATGATGAGGCAGTAAAAGAAAACAGTTTACAGAACTGGGAGATATTAAAGACACTAGAATAACTGATATCGCAGTATAAATCCGGTCTCTCCATACCTGGTATTGATGGCGAAACTGACGCAAATTAAATTTCAAAAGGCATTGAAAGCATGGGGGATTGATTTTTAGATCGATGTTTGATACAATCCGACTGGTTAACCACCGGAGACTGGTCTGTGTTCAGGAATGTCCGCATGCGGCCATGAAAAAAGAGGCCTTGGTCCAAACACATCCCACAATAAAAAACCACGGCAGGAAATTTAAAAAAAAGTTATCTTGTCTTTGACACACACACACACACACACACACAGATCATAGTTCAAATGGCAATAATAACAAGCAATGGCTTGGAATATTCTTCAGATGATAAAATGTTTGAACAAATGACAAAAAAGCACAAAAACTTCTGTGTATCAAAAATTTTAAATGAAAAATTCAGTATGCACGTCCTGAAGAACAGGGCCCTAATGTGGGATTATTTGGTTAAACCAGGAAGGTATATTTTGAAATATTTACAAAAGTTAATCACAGCAGATCTAGTAATAAAGTACCATTTAATCTGCTCAGTGCCGAGGCAGGAGAATAACCCCATCATAAACTCAGCTCGAACAAAACAAAATTCCTAATAAAATCAAAACCCATTAGATGTTAATGGTGAAAGGTTCTTTTGTCACAATTTTAAATGTCAAAAAAATTTTTTCATAGAAATGATTATACCTTGTTTTGATGGCCGACGAGGAGGACTGAAAAAAGTTATGGAAAAAGCTTTTAAAGCAAGATGGTATTTGATGCTCGCATTCACAAATGATGTACTACTGTATATATATGATGTATAGAAGTTTTAAGGTTTTACGCAGGATGAAATATTTTCTTCCTTATTTATAACTCCGACCTTTTCTCCATTCATCAGTTCAACTTATTAAAAAATCTATACTAAAACATAGAATTTTCTTTTGCAAACTACTGTTCACCCTTTCTACATACCTGGAACCATTTTATCAAAAGCACTACATGTATCACCAATAAATCCCCTAACCTTGCCATTGATAAAATAAATCCATCAATTAATTATTATATACCCCAAAGTTTTTGCTAAATTAATTATTACAATTAAAACATTTAGTATGGTATGTCTTTGGTTAACATTGTCCCATATTGTTGATACTACCCTTAGCAAACCCCTCTCCATCAATAATTTTTTAACTTTAGTTAACTCTGCTCCACTAAAACATAGCCTATGGTTAATCCCTCTTCACCCACGGATACATTTAGTCTTTGGTCAAACCTGCTACACAATTCACCTGTATTTGGTTAACCCAATTCCACCCCATACTCTCCCAGATTAACTCTGCTCCATCAATTAAGAATGTATTCCGTCTTTGGTTAACCCCGCTCCACCTACACATTCTGCTTTTTGGGTCGGCTCCACCAACTGATGTCTCCCAGTCTTTGACTGTAATATTTTGTTTATATTACGGCTCCTCCTATTTCTCTCTCTCTCTTTTTTACAATAATCCAACATGGAGCACAAATACATGTACACCAGTTTATTATTTTAAGAACTGAAGACACATTTTGACTCTTTTTAACCTGCAATAATTTTTCCTCTAGAAATTGAGGGGACTGTGTTTCATTTATTAACTATATTCAATAATCATGCAATCATTGGCAATTGAAAGTTGTCAATTAGTGATTTTCAAGACAGTACGATTTAAAATATTTTACCATTAGTGATCTGTATATTAATAGTCGTCCCACTTTTTTTTTTACAGACAGCAGCTTCCTCCTGGCAAACGCCCGCATTATGGACTACCCCATTGTCTACTGTAATGATGGCTTCTGCAAACTCTCCGGGTACAATCGCGCGGAAGTCATGCAGAAGAGCAGCACGTGCAGTTTCATGTATGGCGACCTGACAGAAAAAGAAACGGTGGAGAAAGTAGAGACGGCTTTCGAAGAAACGGAACAAACACAAGTGGAGATCCTTCTCTACAAAAAAAATCGTAGGTTTACAGATATGGACAAGGAATTTTCAATTCAAATCACGGGTCCAAATTCCAAGTCGAAAATTCTTGTTTTTATCTTTTTTATATATAAATTGAGCTATCTGGGTTCTGAGAATTGTAAATCGAAACCTATTTAAAAAGAACAAATTTGACTTAAATTTCGAAAAGATTGTTTACACATTTGACAACATGGAGTTTACTTCCTTAGGTCTGCAGTTTTAAAAGTTAAACACCAAAGTACTTGAGATGTTCATAGAGGTCCGCCAATAACCGGCAGTGATTGATTACTAGTATGTTATACAGGCTCAAATAGACTATGATTATGGACTGATAAAGTAAAATAGGCTCACATAGCCTACGATTATGGATGTTATAGGCTCAAATAGCCTACGATTATGGGCTCAGACAGGTGGAAGAGACCAACTCTTATCACAGACTAGAATCGAAGTGATAGCGCAGTGTTATTTTTACATAATCTAATAAAGATAATGATCAATGTGGCGAACCAAAAACACGAGATTTATTTTTAAAAATTAAAAGCCAGCAGTAGAGAAATTGGAGTTATTTATAGAGAAAAGTAGACGAATCTAAAATCCGTTATGTAATATAATCTCTAGTGCCATAAAGCTCTTTAAAATCTGTCATCTTGACATTCTCCATTATCAACATGACGCTTTTGTTTTTGTCTGGATTGTTTTCTACACGTATAGAGGTTTGAATCTATCCGTTTTCGGCCTAGCTGCTAAAGTTACCTGTTTCGAACTGCGGATTTTCTGAAACAGAGAATTGTTCATCACAAAGAAGTCCTTACCAGGAGTTTTTGTATGCATCACATACAATATTTTTTATATAATAATCTTATATAATTTGTTTCCGAAACGTAAACTCAAGAAATTAAAATTAATTGTAGTGTAGTTTTGAGTCATTAAAATAAGTGTACGTCTATTTACGCATTAATTACTCAGATCTACCTTTTTTAATTTCGTTTTGAAGAACAATTATATAATACAGGACAAGACATATAGGATATATGTAAGGAATGTCACGCGCATGGTCTAGTTATATAACCTAAAATTTAGCTTCATCTTCTGTTAGAAATATAATTATTACTGTAGAAGAAAAAAGGTTACACTAGAGCCCTATAATCAGGTCACCTAGAAGCAGTCACCCCAGGTGATGTATCGGTCTCCATTAATTCCCGTCTGTCGTCTGTAGACTTATGAACATTTCCAGCTTCTTTCTTCACCCGAGCCAAAGTCTCAAATGAAATGGCATCCGTATATCTGTCTGTTGTAATTTGTAAACTTTTCACGTTTTTAGCTTCTCCAGAACAAATAGTTCAATTTCAACCAAACCTTTCATAAAGTATCCTTGGGCAAAGGAGATTAAGTTTTTTTTTTCAAATGAAAGACCACGCCTCTTTTCCAATGGAAAGATTTGCCAAATAATAAGACATGTAGGTTCATTAAAAATCTTTTAAAGAACCACGTGCATTAGGCCAGAAAAGACAAAGCGTACTAAAAATCTTTCTTTAAATTCAACTTGCCCCCACGCTATGGAGGGGTCAAATAGGGGGTCGAAATTCAAATAGGAATATATATATAGAGAGAGACGTTTGAAGAAAAAAGGAATATATATATATATAAATAGGGACGTTTAAAGAAAACCCTGAGGTATCGTGAGCACTGAGCTCACAAAATGATACCCTCCGCTCCCATATAAGTACAATGACAAAGCCCATTTTTCTATAGAAAAACCCAAATATCTGTCCGATCAAAACATAAAATAGGAGGTGCACAATGGCACTATGTAATAAAGATTCTGTGAAAGTTTCAATAAATTTTATTCAGTGGTGTAGGAGGAGTTGCGGATTAGAGATGGGTACCCCAAATGTTATAGAAAGAATGGCAGTGTCCAGGTTTTGATATGGGAAACCCTTAATATCTGTCCGATCAAAACGAAAATAGGAGGTGCTTAATGGCACTATGTAATAAAGATTCTGTGAAAGTAAAATAAGGCCATTCCAAATTTTTTCTATGTTTAGCGTCCGCGGGCGGATTGGTTTTGAGGTTATGAAATTAAAAACAAACACAAATTAAAATTGACAAATACAAATCTTTGAAACGCAATTTATGCTTTGGGGATCGGCATCTTTCTTTTTTGTAAGTGTTGTACCAATTTTTTTCTCAATAAACCAGTAGTTTAAAGATGGGAGGAGAATTCTCAAATGATGATGAGAAATTCTAGAATTCTGCTTAAAATGTTATGTTTTTCCCTTTTGGTTTGTGTGGTTTTCCGGATAGAAAGATAGGTTTTCGAATTTAGGGTGGACGCTAAACAAAGAAAAAACTTGGAATGACCTAAATGAAAATGAAAACGTTACATGTAGTTATATTTTTGGAAATCATCCGTTTCACCAGCAAGATACTTTATGATGGGATAAGAGTGTGGAATAGCAGCAATGCTAATGTTTTGTAGCTAAGGAGACTGGGTGGTCAGCAAATCATCAAACAGATTCACCTAAAAATATAAAAGCTTATTTGTTTCTAATCGTAAACTAATTCCGAGTTAAGAAATAACCCCAATTTCCAGCTATAATTTTTAATAAATTAATTCAATTCCCTTATTTATTTTTTTTTATAAAGAACTCTTTTTCATTAGGTTTAGATAGTCTAATGCCCTGTTCACACGGAGAGTTTAATTCGAATTAAACGTAAGTTACTGCGAATTAAATTTGAACCGCGTTCACACGGAGAATTTAATGCGAATTAGTTGAATTCGAATTAGTTTACTGCGCATTAAATTACTTCGCATTAGCTCCGTGTGAACGCTAAGCGAAGCTAATTCGAATTAAATTTTGACGCATGCGTAAGGGCAGAATTTAGTCACAGACCACATGTCGATGGTCAAATATAGGTACTTGTGCTATTTTTGAGTGGAAAAGCAAAGAAAATTATGTTAATCAATAAAATGTGTACAGACACTATGACATTATGTAAAGGTACCTGCTCTGCACAATGCAACGTGATTTGAAAATGACGTCATAACAGCCTTACTGAATAGCCTTACTGTAGAAATATAATTTTAATTCGCATTAGTTTACTTCGCATTAGCTCTCGCGTGAGCGCAATCTAATTCGAATTAGTTTACTTCGAATTAATTTACTGCGAATTAAACTCTCCGTGTGAACAGGGCATAAAAATGGTAAAGACCACCTAACCATCTTGAATATTTGAACTGCAATACTGTGTTGGATTTTTGGGGGTGGGGTGGAGGGTAGGTATTTATTAAATTGGTATATACTTTGAAACATGGTATACAGGTATATGACTGTATAAGGGGTTGGAGTGCACAGTACTTCAAGACAAGAATTTCAAATCAGATATAATTTTGTCATGCATATTTTTTATGTTTATCAATCATATCAAAGTCAAGAGGAATCTGAATGTTCAGTTTTTCATAATTTGAAATACTAGTATACAATACGTAAAAAAACATTCATTTGCTATGTGTATAATTCTAGTTGCAAGCACGGTTCAAATAACATAATGGTTAGAGCTTTGATACATATAGTTTTTGTATCCGTCTTGAAGTGATGGTACAAGCAACTAAATTCTTTGAAACTAAACACATATCTTCTTATTATTTCCTTTCCATTTTATTTGTTTTATTGACATACATGGTAATGTGACTGATGTTCAGTTTATCTTATTGACGTAGGCCATTTTTCATTTGATTTATTGAAATGGCGAAGAAGCAAAGTCTATTTCCCAAGTAAGTCATACGTATATGTTTACTTGTCTACGACGAAAACTTTACACTGTTTAGGCAAAATTAAGTCTACATTTTGCTAAAACTCAGTAGGGCTTCGCTCCTATACCCCCTCCCTAATTTCTGGATATAAATTCTAATTTAGATCCAGTGAATAAGCTTCTAGAATGGATTTAGTTATCATAGATTATCAAAAATTTGTCAAAGTATATTCCACCTAAACAGAGCAATGGGGGGGGGGGGGGTCTGGATTGTGAACAATATGGCAGATGAATTGATAAATTTCCTATTCTGATAATTTCGGACTGATGTTAAGATTGATTGAATAAGGGGTATTCATACGCCAGCTCTCGTGACTGCAGGTGAGCACTGTTTACTCTTCCGTCATAAAATATAATCCGTGAGTTAGTTTACATTTAATACATTGGAAGATGAAGACATTTCCAAGATGATTTATATTTATTTATTTACTTATATTTTGTCTAGAAATGTCATTATGCACGTATTGACTAAACTTTTATCTTTTTTAAAATACTATTACGGTAAGTACATGTCCGAGCATTGTTTCTGATACTCGGTAATTCAAACCCCCGCGTTGTTCACAACATCTAATTTGTTCTATTTATTGGGTAAGAGCTCATCCATTGCATAACATTGTTTGCTTTCTCTTAATATACTGAGCAGTTTGCTTTCTAACACCAAAAGGTCAATAAGCAATTGTTCCTATTTTCATATGCTCCTTTCAATTAGACATGTATTTTTGTTATAGCCTTTTGTAGAGATTGGATAAAGGATGACAAAAACAGTCTATTATATCTTTTCTTTCTTTCCGAAATGTAGTTTTCCGATATATCATTAGGTGGTATGATTCTTAAGTTAACAAGACCTAAACTTAGTGTTAACAAACCAAGCAGAACTGTCAGCAACAAAAGAAAAAAACATTTAATTTTAAATATTTAAAACATATAGTCCTAAGTCAAAAACCATGTCTTTTCAAAGCTTTTGTTTCTTCAACCACGTTGAAATCATGTCTTTTGTGCTCTCGGAAACGACACTAGGGGATACTAATGTTGATAACGTCAAAAGTGGGTACAGTACCTAACGGAGGGGTACTAAATCTCGCTTTCGTGAAATACCGGTAGATACCTCACGGAGAGGTAGCTTATCTCCTGATAATGTCAATAATGTCAAAGGGGGATATAATACCTCACAGAGGAGTATAAATATCTTGTTCCGCGGCAAAATTTAGCTGTCACAGATTAAGACTCTTGTTACAGTGTAGGCGCTAATAAAGAACCGTCTTACACCCCTCTAATATTTCGTTATTCCAGGTAAAAATTCATTACAAAAATCGGCTAATGTCACGGAGATATTTTCCAAGTAAAAAAAGTGTGGGTTTTTTGTTAATTACCTTTCACAGCATATTGATATGTTATGGCAGCTCCGACTACAAATGACATCGATCATCCTCTCAGATTAGGTTAAAAAAAAATTCTTAAATATATGAAGAAAAAGCTATACGCAACGTTTCCTGCTTCCCAAATTGCATTGCACAATTATTGATACCGGTGGCAGTAGTCTAGTGGTATGGCGTTCGCTTCTTAATTTGGGTGAGATCAGGGTTCGATTCTCGTACCCGATGCTAAGACGCTTAACATTTGTAGTGACTGTTCCTTTGCCAAGAGCCGGGCATTGAAAGTGGTCACAGGTCTACCGGATGAGACTTTAAACACCGAGATTCCAAGTAGCAGTAAGCGTAAGCACGTTAAAGAAATCTCACTGCTTTGACTGTAAATGCCGTAAACGCCATGTAAAGGTAAAACTATGGCACTCCAACAACATACAATCACAATTATTGACATTTTTATGTTTAATAATATCAACGATGAAGAACTTCTGTTTGGCTTCGAATTGATATGTGGACTAGTGACACAAAATCTAGACATAAAGTTTATTATTTTCATTGTTCAACTGTAATCACAACAATGGTATCTTTCTACTTGCAGGCACCCCACTATGGCTACTTCTACATATTGCACCTATCAGAAACGAAAAAGAACAAGTGGTTCTTTTCCTGTGTACATTCAAGGACATCACGGCTTTAAAACAACCAATCGACGAAGAAGGAAGTAAGTAGATGCCTACAAATCCCCCTTCCTCAACTAAAATTAGCAAGAATACAAATTTCAGATAACAGAACTGGAAGTCTTCCCACTGCAATATAATTAAAAGTGTATCATTTTTGCAGAACTAACTATAGCCTATAGTATAAGCAAGAGCATTGTTATGTAAAGACACTTGAACTTAATTTGTGTTTCTGATAAATTGTCATAGCGTAGGGTAAGCGTTGTGCTTTTTCCCTCGACTGCAATTAGTGCACTCTATAGCTCAGTGCAAAATAAACTATTAGACGATGAAATCAAACAGATTACAGCCGGTTAGAAATTAATTATTGGTTTTGTTACTTCTTGTCTTAGTTTTTACGCCACATTAGTCTCCCTCTGAAGAAATATCCGGCCTTACGCAGTAGTCGTGACTTTGAAGTCCAAAGCAGTTTCCGATAGTTCCGTGTTTAGTGTCATTAAACTTGATATTCCCAAGCAAATATATGTCTTTCAATTAATTTTCAAAGATCGCACGTGCCTTTAAAACCTGTGACAAGTCCTACCCGTGCATGACCTTTGATACAGATAAACGCAAATATCAACCGACTCTTCTTCATGACTGTTCCGTTTTTGTCCGAATAGAGATCACTGTTCGTTTTCTACATCTTTTCATTTTAAGGTTCATCACCCTTCTGTTCAATCATATACAATGTTGCTTTAACTATAATAATTCTTTAAATGAAATAAACATTGAAAACTGAAATTGAAATGCAAACAATTTCAGCAGACTTGCTGTGTAAACTTTAACAGAAATCCCAAATCCCCCCCCCCCCCCTCCAATTTAGAAAGTGAACGACGTCGTCAAGAACCCCCGTGAGATTTATCTCTTTTATCAAAGGACCAATGGACCTCGATTGTGAGTGCATTTAATTGTTGAATTTGCTGTTGTAGGTTTAAGCAAGTTTGCCAGACTAGCTCGCTCTGTGACAAGAAACCGTTCAACTCTGCTGCAATTCTCCTCTCATATGCCAAGCACCAAGTTCGACAACTCCAAACCATCACAAATCGCAAATGTAGGTTGCGCTCTCCCAACACTTTTTAAAACGATTTTTATTCCCAATTGTTTCAGACGTCTATTAATCACAACTTCTTTTTGTATACAGATGATGAGTTTAAACTCGGACGTACTACCACAATACCGATTAGAAGCGCCAAAAACTCCCCCTCATATTATCCTCCATTACTGCTTATTTAAAACTGTGTGGGACTGGATCATCCTGTTTCTGACATTTTACACTGCCGTTACGGTTCCTTACAACACCGCCTTCAAAAACAAAACCATGGACCAAGTTCCACTTCTTGTCATCGACAGCATCGTTGACGTCGTCTTTTTCGTCGACATTATCCTCAACTTTCACACAACATTTGTGGGTCCTAGTGGGGAAGTTATCTCGGATTCTAAAATTATCCGAATGAACTACTTGAAAAGTTGGTTTGTTGTTGACGTGTTGTCGTGCCTACCCTATGATGTGTTCAATGCATTTCAATATGTTGATGATGTAAGTTGACTTATACTATCACTTATAACAGCCCTTTAACCATGCACGTCGAATTTTATACAAAAACCTCAAACATTTTTATATCAACTCTTTATTTATTGCTTTTATTTTTTAGGGTATCAGTACGCTTTTTAGTGCTCTGAAAGTTGTCCGTTTATTAAGACTTGGTCGAGTTGTCCGAAAATTGGACCACTATCTGGAATATGGAGCAGCCATGTTGATACTCCTGATCCTTGTATTTATTCTATTTGCTCATTGGTTCGCTTGTGGGTGGTACAGCATTGGACTAAGTGAAATTCAGAGTGGGATATCTTACGGTTGGCTCACCTATTTATCGAACACCACTGGAGACGTATTTTATTTTCTAAATGGTACATCAGAACTTGACGTCTCTGGGGGCCCAGGAAAGGGAATGCGGTACTTGACGTCACTATACTTCACCTTATCGTGCATGACCGGTGTAGGGTTTGGGAATGTGGCTGCCAATACAGAGCATGAAAAGTTATTCTCAATTTTTATGATGATTATTGGAGGTATATTAACTTACACATAATTTTAATATCTGTTTTTCTACAGAATATGATTTTCCATACAGAAAAGCAATTTTCTTTCTTATTGTAGCTCTACTTTACGCACTTATCTTTTCCAATGTAACAACCATATTTCAACAATTCTACGCAAATTTTGCTCGCTATCACGACATGTTGAATAGCGTGCGTGAATTCATGAAGCTGCACGATGTCCCAAAGTCTCTCAGTGAACGCGTCATGGATTACATTGTATCTACGTGGGCAATCACCAAAGGAATAGATGCAACCAAGGTACAACAACACATAAACATAATTTAAACTTTTCCTGAGTCGAATCCATTTAAGTATACTGCATTAAAACAAGATCCTCTTGAAGGTATAACATCGTATTCCTTGATTTCAATATAGGTCTTAAATTACTGCCCCAAAGACATGAAAGCGGATCTTTGTGTTCATCTAAATCGAAAGGTATTTTTGGAGCATCCTGCTTTCCGCCTAGCTAGTGATGGTTGTCTACGAGCACTTGCTATGCATTTTAACATGACTCACAGTGCCCCGGGAGACCTGATCTTTCACCAGGGAGAGAGTCTTGATGCTTTATGTTTTGTTGTCACGGGGTCATTAGAAGTCATTCAGGATGACGAAGTCGTTGCAATTTTGAGTAAGCATTCAGAACACAATTTTCCCGACTTTCAACGATGATTTTCGAAAGAGTTCCAGTATGTAAATGGCTCGTCTCCAAAATATCGTCAAAATTTATCCATTTAAAAAGAACTCAGTTCTTAAATTGAGATTTGAACTAAAATACATCCTTTCAAAGTAGTAGATTTTCATAAATGTACTTGTAAGTTGACTGTGCGTTTCATTATAATGACATTTTCTGTATTTAGGTAAGGGTGACGTCTTTGGAGACAACTTTTGGAAGGAACACACAATCGGTCAATCAACAGCAAACGTTCGAGCACTAACTTACTGCGACCTTCATACAATTAAACGAGGTCGTCTTCTGGAAGTGCTGGAATTCTACCATGCTTTTGCCAATTCTTTCGCAAGGAATCTCACTCTCACCTACAATCTTAGACACAGGGTAAATCTTCAATTTTCATTTTAAGCTTAAATTTGGCTTGTTTTATAAGCAAATGCATTAGGGCTGGGACGATACAACTTTTTCTATATCGATACGTATCCCGATATTTGAGCCACGATACGATATGTATCACGATATGTTTAATTGGTTATAAATCCTTTTTTTATATTGAAGTGAACAAAACGTTTCTTCACATATAAGAATAATTTATTCAAAGAAGTTGTATATCTGTTGTAATACTTAATTATTTTGCACAAGTGGTCTTAATTATTATGTATTTTATATTTAGATTTATATTAAGCATATTTATGTTACATATTAAACCCAAAATGTTCAGTAAACAAAGAAAAACATTAGTCAGAATTTTTTGGGCGATATGTCGATATTTCTTCATATGTATCGATATGCGTATCATCCTCACATTGAATCGATATTATCGATATCTCGATATATCGTCCCACCCCTAAAATGCATACCAGACAATGTTGGTTTGTAAAGTTACCAATTATCCTGATCGTTCCTCTGTTTTTTAGTTGATTTTTAGAAAGGTTGCTGATGTCAAGAAAGAGAAAGAACTTGCTGAAAAAAGAAAGAATGATCCTCCTCTAGAGTTGTCAAGTGACCATCCTGTTCGAAAACTCATCTCTAGATTTAGAAAGATCAGTGATGCAAAGGCGATGCAAACTAATACTGATCCTGAAAAAGGGAGCAAGGCGGATATGAACGGAGGAGAAAGAGGAGGGCCCGAAAAGTCACGAAGTTTTGCTCGCCTTATAAATGTTACTGAAAACTCCGCACCTAAGACAGGTGGAGGATCCTCGAAATGGGGTAAAATGGTGAATGGCACTGGTCCTTCAGACGGTGAAGGCAAGCAGAATAAACCAAATAACGAAATCAAAGAGGAGGTGAAGAATGGGGAACCCCACAAACAGCAATTAAAACCAGCTCCAAAGTGGGGCAAAATGATGGGTAGAAACATGGAACAAAGTAAAGACAATGAAAAAGAGGAAACTCAAAACAATTTACGAAAGTCTGAGTCAATGGACAGTGGTATAATTCGTAGCAATGTAAAACTGGATCTTATTAATGAAGAAACAGTCGAACACACAGTGCTGATGCGAAACGAGACTAACAATAACATAACTAGCCGTGATACTTCTCTCTCTGCCATGTCAGTAGCAGAACGTCATATGCTGACATCAATTCATGACATTAAACTAGAAATGAAAGAGGACATGGACATCTTACATCAAAAAATGAATAGAATAGACGAGCAAATCTCTGAAATTTTACGAATGTTCTCTCCGAGTTCCTCTCCATGTTCCTCAAACGAGGACTCAACTTATCCACATTCCAAAGACAATTCTGGCGGGAATACCGAAAATAACACTAGTGCGGACCCCGCCACCGAATCCTCGGGAGAGGAATCTCCCAAACCCACAATGCTTATTTGTGATGTGGATTTCATTCCTAAAGCTCCATCTGAAAGTCCGATTCTTAATCTTCCAAAAGACAGTGACGCCAATACGACAAGGTCTAATTCCATGTCTTTAGGTGTTTCACCGATTAGCCGACTTTCGTCGTCAGCAAGTCATTCTATTTTACAGGGTAATCATATAGGGCAACCGTCAGATACTGTAACTTCGTCAAATCTCAAAGAATCAAAGGAGGAACCTCAGAGTGGATCATCAAATAACTCTTCAAAATCGAATTCCTCAGCAGACAAAGGACATCTTCAAGTACAAAATATCAACACCGTATCAAATTCGAGCCATAAAACGTCATCAGACAGTTCTGTTCAAAAAACATCAATGGCAAGTAGTGGACGTGTTTCAACTCCGGCAAGTAATGGACGTGTTCCATTTCCGGCTAGTAATGGGCGCGTTCCATCTCCGGTAATTAGTGGAACTAATGTATCTCCAGCAAATAGTGAACATGTTCCTCCTCAAGCTACTAAAGAAAGAAACAACGCACTGCCAAGTACTAAAAGTGGAAGTAGCACAAATTCTAACGCCAAAGATGGAAATAGTACACCTCCAAAGATCAGGAAAGGTACACCACCGCCCAGGCAAGGAATACACAATGTAAACAATGGAGGAAGTACGCCCCCGTCATCTTCGAACGGTGAAAATAATGTATTATCGTCGCAAGAAAACTTGAAGACCTCATCTGGCTATGCTGCAAACCAGAACTCATCAAAGAACAGTCAAAATCCGACATCAAGAAAGGACGAGTATCCGTTAATTTCTGCACTAGGACCGGCAGCTGGGTATTCCATGAATCCCACGGGAATGTCCACTCCAAGACCGATATCTCCTAAATCATCGACAAGTCATGTGACACCGCCTATGGGACCTGCAGCATCAATAAGTGACGTAAGCATGACTGACGTGTCAAGTCCCAGAAACGTTATTTCTATGGCAGACGATGTGCTTAAAATGAAAACAAAATCCCCTAGAGGCTCTCAGGGCCAAAGACTTAAATACAGTTCAAATATTCAAAGTTTAAGTAAAGCAAAAACGGACAGGAAAGTGTCGCCGGACTCTCAGCGTCCTGAGACGCGAAGAATCCATGGCGGAATTACCTTACCCCTGGACAACGAAGGGGCTCATGTCAAGGATCGTGACCTTGATATTTTATGAGACCTTTGCCGTGTGTTCTTGAAAAATTTCCCGAAAATTCTGCGAAGTTGTTTTCACTGTATGACGCATTATCCTAGTTGTGATATTTATAAATTATTTGCGCCAAGTGACTATTCCAGAACTTGACAAAACTCAGGCTGTTTATTTCTGTCCTGTGTGTTGAGAGCATATCACTAGATCAGCGGGTTGTTCCTGCTGACTTCAAAACGTTGTGAAAGTTCACCGAAGACTTGCAAAAAGTTCTTCAAGCATCGGGTTCATTGTTGATTAAACGCTGTTGACCTTTTGACCTTTTATTAACACATATCGTTCCTATTTCAAAAAAAAAATTCTTACAGAAAGAAAAGACTTGAAGCTTTATGGCTTCAATACCTGCTTTCATTGTGAAGAAACCCATAAATTTAAACCAGGAAATCATGCTCTAAATATAAAAGCACCCCATGGAAGTTCAAACCTCCAAAACACAGTTTCGAGCTGTGTTTCATCAGTTGTTTCGCTACAGTATGACCAACCATTTGCACTAAGGTTTGAGAGTGTAACGATATGCAATTTTCTTTTCTTTATTGCCTTTTTGTGAAACGTGTTTTATTCACATTGTTTTACACACTTTATTACCATTTTTTCTCCTACTACACATATTTTAACGATGAAACGTTATATTTTATGAATTGTTGTTGAAACTGTAATTTTAAACACAAGTTTTATGTTCTTGCCAATGGGCTTTCGTTACTAGAATACCAGGGTCGGTACACATAAATATAATATATATATAATTTTGATATAAGTTTATTTTAACCTACAATATGAAACCGAAAGTTACTTAGCCCACAGATATTATATGCTTGGGTCTGTTTCAGTTTATTCACAGTAAAGAAACGTAAAATTCAAGGAGAGAAAATATAGCCTTTATCTTTTTTCAAGTCAGGTGTTCCTAATTATAAAACATTCAAAATAAATTTTAACAGCAATTGCAATTTTTACCCGAAGTGTCCAAACTACAGGTGCCTAATGTACAGATCCTCATGCTTACCTCCCCTCCGCTACTATACACTTTAAATACTTTTTTAAAAATATTTAATCTCCGTAAAGTGAACAAAAATGTACAAGTGGCGCACTGATTGAACGCGCCTGTAAGTATTCAACGTCAATAATTATTTATTTCGTGGAGAATAGGTGTACAAATCATATGATCCGGATCGAGTTACCCTAAACCACATCCAATTGTGGGTCGATCCATAACAGTAGTGATTTAACCAAGTCCGTTAACCTCAATTAACTTTAGTGTGTGGATCGGCCCTTAGTTAAATACCAGAGAATGTTTGACAATTTTCAATACTGAAAATTGTGAAAGTTTTTTATTAGTACATGTACATAGATTCCACAATATAAATGTATTTCTGAGTTTAGGTTATCTTCGATTCAATGAAGACCCTTAGATAAACTAAATGGTTTTTGCACTGTACCGTTAAGCATTTGGTCCGTAAGAAACCGATTAGTACAAATGGTGAATAGAAGATATTTGGTGCATTTTTATTTTGGTCTTAAAATAATGTAAAAGCATATTGCTTTAAAATATTAGGATGCATTATAAACAATTTGTAGAGTTTTCGAAGTAACAACTTATTTTACATATAGCTTATACGATTGGAAAGCATTGTAACAGTTACGAATAGATTCAAGAAATTAATAACGTTAATGCTAAAACCTAGTTCATGTTAGTGTGATTTCACAGTACAGTTACACAATTTTTACTTCGTCTTAAACTTTTGATATTTTTTTTAATACAACACACGGTTCAGTAGTGTTTAGTTGTCCTCAAGGATGTTTATTTTTATTGTTTTAGTAAATAAATCACACACCGCTCCCTCCATATAAATCAGATCTATGCCAAAATAGTTCATAGTCATGTCAGGAGAGGGACCAGAAAAATGACATAGTTACACATATTTCTCACCAATTTAATGACATAGTTACACATATTTCTCACCAATGTAATGACATAGTTACACATATTTCTCACCAATTTAATGACATAGTTACACATATTTCTCACTTCTTCTGTACTTAAATTACATAGTTTCATACTTCTCACTGTTCTACTGTACTTAAATGACAGGTACACATTTTCTCGCCAATAAAATGACATAGTTACACATATTTCTCACTATTCTACTGTACTTAAATGAAACATTATACATATTTCTTACAATTCTACTTTACTTGTGAAAGAATGCTGGTAGTAACATATACTTCTCTTCACTCTACAGTACTTGAATGACATAGTTACACATCTTTCTCACCATTCTACTGTACCTAAAATGACAAATTACACATTTCTTAATGCTCTGCTTTACTAATAATGATGCAGTTACACATTTTTCTCACTTAAATGACATAGTTACACATACTTCTCACTATTCAACTGTACTTAAATGACATAGTTACACAAATTTCTCACCATTAAATGACATAGTTACACATACATGTATTTCTCACCATTCTGCTGTACTTAAATGAATAGTTACACAAATTTCTCAAAAGGTTGCACTACTGTACTTAAATGACACATTACATAATTATATTTCTCCCAGTTCTACTGTACTTAAATCACACATTATATAATTATATTTCTCCCCATTCTACTGAACTTAAATGACACATTGCATAATTATATTTCTCCCAATTCTACTGTACTTAAATGACAAAGTGAAACATTTTTCTTACACATATTTCTACTGTACTTAAAATTTCTAGTCACAGAGACACTTCCTCCAATAAACCAAGGCAATTTTTTATTGCCCTCAGTTTTTTTTTCCCTTCAAATCTCCTGTACTGTTTTATTGCAATAGTACCTCTTTGTTATCCAATAAAATGTGATATCTTGTTACTGTTTTTATATCAGCCCTCTCGACCTTTTCATTGGCTGTTGTAGTCATGTGATTAAAAAGACATTCCTATAAAATGAGCATAACCATCATTTTGTTGTTAATAACATTTTTTTTAAATTTTAACTGAATAAAAAAAAAATAACAATACTTGTTACCGAGTTTGTTTTCATTTCTTACCTGCATAAATGTTACTTTGTGAATTGACAGAAAGCAATAAAATAATTTTGCATATAATATTATACTGTAAATCATGAAACTATTGTGACACCTTACTTTGGGGATATTCCTATCTGGTATATTTGAGATTTTAAAAAAATCACAAATTTTGGTAATTGTATTTTATAAAATATCTTTCCTTGAAAAAAGAAATATATCTTTTCCCTTTTACTGGTACTCGAAAATAATGTTCTTTATATGAAGGAAAGGTGATTTACGACTATTTAGCCAAGAAACAAAATGATTATTTACGTTTCTTTTCACAATAAACTGTAAACCATTTAAAGTATCACAAGCCCAAAATCACTGTGTTCAGAGAGTACTGTACATAAAAGCACATGAGGGCCAAATTTCCTGGATTGCTTAAAAATGATATATTCTAGGTGATCTGATTTTTATGGACATGTATCTCGCTATAAAGACATCACCTTTATTTTAATATTCATTGAGGCTGTTATCCTATGGATCAGAGGTATATAGCCATGAAAACTATGAAAATAGGACCCCTACAAAATGTAAATGATTCCCCAGTATGTGGCAAGGAATTCAAAAACTATTCTTCAAGTGTCCATTTTCCAGGTCATGTGAAACAATATGCTTCCTGAATCCATGTCATTGATGAGTTTGTAATAACCATCCTATCTTTTCTGATAAAGCAGCTATCATAATGAATCTGATTTCTCATTCATCTAGATGAGGCTGGCATATATTTCTGTATCAAGATCCGATAATTAGCTTCCATTAATGATTACAGCCATTGTTAAATATTGTAATCAGGTCTCTGAAGAGAGATAAAGTCAATATAATTCTGATTCAAATAATATTATCATTGTCTACAATAGACTTTGATGAGGGCTTTGAAATGATGGCAGATTACCCTATAGTCACTGGTCAAAGATTCATGTGATCTTTGTGTGACATTCCCACAGTCGCAGTTCAGTTCTTAGTTTTTAGATTCTTTTTCGGTGCTTACGTGTTGTTTGTTTTATGAGTCAAATTTCAGCGAAACACAGCTTCCAAGGAAAAGTGCCTAAAATCTGAAATTTTAAAAATATCGGAAAAGTCACCATAAAGAGAAATTTTTCATGTTTGCTTTATTTCTAATTGTAAATTGGTATTTTGAAAACTACATCATTAATGCAATGAATAATGAATTAGGATGTACAACTTTAGAATTCTAATTTTTCAACTCTGAAGACTAGACGCTACATCAATCAGTAGATTTATAGTGATACAGGTTTAATCTACCAAGGACCGAAGTGTGGAAGTTTTATTATTTGATCCTAGTGAAAAAAAAGAAGGAATACTGTCTTAATGGTTCATCTTTGGATGAGAAAGACAATACTATTTACACTACAAAGTCATCACAAAGTCACTGTTCTATCAAAGGTATTACAGTATCAGATACAAAATAAAGAGAATTAAGACAGATTAGAGAGGACACATACAGAGAGTTAAATTTACCTAATTCTCAGTGAAACGTTTACTACTGGTTAGCCATATATTACTTCACTGGTTATCCACTGTGCAGTATGTAACTTGTAAATATAGCTGACTTCACAAGCCAAGCCTTTAACACGTTATTCTGTTTATGTATGTAGATATATATTGTAGAAGCTTTGTTCCCTTTCACAACCTCAATTTTGTCTCATCACTAATTATTGAAAGTTAATGAATAATTAAAAAGTTTGCAGGTTAATAGCAAGATGGCACTTAAGCTGATGACATAAGTTGCATAATAACGACGTAATTAAGCTAGTTTTTTTTATCACTGTTCATACATTATATTACATCTTTCATACATTTTTCATAGACAGAAGTTACAAAACTGATTACCAATAGTTATTCAGTTCCTAACAGTAAGACCAATGTAATGTTTGTTTTAATTGGTTGCAGTCAATCGTTGTCATTGGTAACTTAAGCCATTAATGACAATGCAAATTAATGTTTCTTTCGAAATAACAGCTATCTACAAAACATTCAGATTGGACATGTTAACCTTTTCACTGAATTGCTGTTCAGACAAGTTTAGTACAGTTGCACTTTTACAGAAGTGGTTCTTTAAAGCAATGAAAAAAATAAAGACTCATATCACAAAATTTACAGAAAAAATATGTAGAGCTATATTATTCTCAAAGTGATTATACCATTATAATAAAGTTTTACTTTGTCTCCCAAAAGTGCAGAATGTTACTTTTAAATTCATATAAGAAATCCCAGAAATAATGAAGTAATTTTGTCCCAATTTGCTGGTCTCTTAAATTACTTCTCTGATTTAATTTACTGTACTGTAACATCAAACTTGGTGACAAACAGAATTTACTGTACATCAAACTCAGTGACAAACAGAATTTACTGTACATCAAACTCGGTGACAAACAGAATTTACTGTACATCAAAATCGGTAATAAACAGAAGTTATTTTTAAACAATTTGGTTAGCAATATATGCCACCACTATTTATTGAAAAGTTATTAAATGTATAGTCTTCAAACCAAACTTGTAATATCCCTAATATGATTAATTAGCCAAATTTTAGCTTGTTAGTTAGCTCAACTAGTAAATGGCCATCTAGTTAATTAGTTTGTTATTTATACAGTCTTTATAGTTTGTCTGTTATTTAGTTAGTTTGCTAGTTTTTAATTAATTAGTTACTTTGTTGGTTATTTAGCTGATGTCAAATATAAATTTACCTAATCTTAGCTTTCCTTTGGTCATTCCTTGCTAATATGTGAGTTGCGCTTTATTTCCATGCTAGATTGCACACAGCAATATAAGATAGCGTAAACAGTTGCCAATGCCTGGAAATTCCCTGGAAAGAAAAGTCATGATAACACTGCAATGACAAATTGAATTAACATATATACAACTGTATTACTTATTTACTTCCATCATCATTATCAACAAAGTGAAACTAATTTGAATTCAACTGTAATTTTATCAACACAATGAGAGCAAATTTATATTCAAATCAGTATGCAAACTTATTGCATTACAAAACATGGCATGTAAAATATTTACATTGTTTGTTTTTAGCATTTGAATAGCATTTCATTGTGAAATACATTTCCTGTCACTTTTAATTTGGACAGTCAGAAATGGAAATACATCATATTAGAAAGCAATTTCCTGAGAGAGCTTGTGCCTAACAAAATTATTTAGAAACTCTCTCTCTTTTTTTTTTTTTTTTTTTTGGTGAATTTGAAATACATAATATCTATATTCTCATGAATATATTCACACAATTATATACCAACCAATCAAAGAAGCTCTAATAATATATGAACTCTTGAATTTTGTATGGTACGTTGTAATACCAAAATAGAACTGTAATTGCTGCCTCTATGAAATCAGTTGTTTGACAATTACTGTGCACCATAAAAGTCATTTTGTCAATTTATCTTCTTTCTGGCAATTTTGTTTGTGTTCTCTCTTCCCTTCCTTTAAACAAGCCTTGTATATAAACTCATAAGTAGTCACAACTCTTAAAGTATTTACGTCTCAAAACTGCTTTTAAATAATTCTGTCCCAATCACTTAATCAGAGCAATTATTTTATTGTCGCAGTTAGCTGGTCTTTATATAATTATGGACATTTTTTCAAAGTTTATTTTAGAAAATTAATAGTAAAATGGACATAAATACATGTAATACAGAAATACACTGCCTGCAAAATTGAAAAAAAAAATTACATACAAGGCCACATAGAATTAGTTTTTAGATTTTCATCCATACCCGACTGTTTCAGTGTCCCATACCTTTTCATTTTGGTTTAAAACTATATGGATAAAAAAACATGAGAAAAAAACAAAGAGGTTAATGCACAGAAAAATTGGAGTGTTTACATGAATTATTACTTAAGAAATTAAATTTCTTTAAATAAAGCTGGGAAAAGGTTTATGGACTCCTATTAACATTAAACACTGTGAACTTTTTTTTTTAGTAATTTGTATTTAAAAAATAGTGCATGTATGTCTGCTCTAAAAAATAGACTTAATCAGCAAAAATTAAAAGTATAGCTAAATTCTATGAATTCAACCTGGAATTATTTCCCCTGAACCTCTATTCCATAAACATTGGTAGCAAAGTTTGTTTTTAGAGTATAAAGGAGTTCAACTAAAAATGCTGTCCCAAAATATGTCTTTCTATTCATGGAAGACTATAACATATAATCAACCACTCACAACTTTAAATCATTGAGTTATATGAAATTCTTATGGAAAGGATGGGTTAATTTACAAATATGGATTCTTTGTTCAGGATCAATGGAGTAACATTTACACAAAAGTTCAGAGCAAGCTGTTCTTGTGTGAAAAATAAACATCAAGGGAGAGGCAATTCACACAAAATCTGAATGATCTACCAACAAAACTGATCGAGATATTTCCCCCCCAAACAGGACAACCACCGAGACATTGTAGTTTGTCAGCCCTCTGACTTCAAAGACCCAAAGATATATGTCTCTTCATAAAAGTCTGTTAAACTGAGAAAAAAAGGATCGATTCAACCTTAAAAAGGGAGATAATAACACTTTAATGACAAGATATATCAAACGCGCTGTATTGTAAATCGAGAAAATTAGCTACGCTACATAAGCAATGCATCTAAAGATCTTTTGAAGAACATAAAATCAATATGGAAAATTACAAACCAACAGTATCCCAGCATGGCATGATGTATATTTCTAATGAAAAAATCTCATCCTCACCAGATGTGCCTATTATTTAAGTTCTGATAAACTGACTTTGATCCTGCCCTTTGAAATTACTGGTCTTTTTTGTACTTCATTTTAGTGGCCTTAAATGTTCAATTTCAGACTAACCAATTGAAAAAGAAATATTTTCAATTACAGGATGTCATTGATAAGAAATCATTATCAAAAAAAAAAAAATCAAAAAAAATCTGTCAAATAAGAAACTATTGTAAAATCTAAACTTAGGAGGTACCTTGGCAATTGCACCATATTTCGACATCACCTTGAAAAATAGATTTTACCAATCAGAAACTAGTGGCTATGAAGGAAAAAATTACCCACGAAAGAACAAAATAACTTTTTCTTTAGTACAACTAGAAGATAGGTGTTTAAGTTGGGGGATGGGGGGGGGGGGAGGATGAAGAGAGAGAAATAGGAAACACAGTGCCCTTGTATTCAGAAGTTTATAACCAAACATAATACATGTATGCCAAATACAAAACACCAAAAAATTCTTTTTTAAATGTGTAAAATTACACTCTACATTAAAATTCAAATTACTAAGTCAGATCAAAAAATCACATAGCAAGAAATCTTAACTGTATATAAGACTTGAGAAAATGATTTCATTTACTGCAAGAAATGAATCCGACTGGCCAGTATTGATTCATCATTGATTAAACAGTTGGTGCATGGTTGCACGTTTCTGATACACAATTAAAGAAGGTGAAAGTCCTCAATGAATAATAAATTGTGATATCAACGTAATGACGGTTTTGTATTATAACTGAAGAAATCACAGGAAATGGCAGGTTCTAGTAACCAAACTTGACAGGTTAAGATATGCCCTTCTCTTAAATCTGAACTGCCACAAGTACCTGTTAGACCCATTCTCTACCCTTAACACTTTGATCAATTAGAAATGAATTCTGATACTTTTTTTTCTGAGAGTGAAAAAAAAAACAAGAAAGAACAATTAAGTAATAATGGGGTTAAGTGACCCTTAATTTTTGTAACATGGTCATACACCCTTTCAACTGGGAAATTAAATTGAAAAAAAAAAAAGCAAAATAGAAAAAAAATTGATGACTTGTATTATGTTTTACTGTAAAATAAAGATAGGTTGTAGGCTTAAATAATCTCTGTTCATAAATGTATTTTTGTGAACTATTATGTTAACCTGTAAATTTATACCCCCGACAAAAAGCACTGAAGAATTCAATATGCTTGTCAATGGGGGAATTTTTACATTTTTTGTTTTTGTTTTTGTTTTTTGTTTTTTTTAATGTATTTTTTTTATTTGCTTTTTGTTTTTTGTTTGTTTGTTTTTTTTAAAGGGGGTGGAGGTCATTTTTTTTTTAGGTAGGACTGAGTCTTTTGCTTGGACTTGCATCCAATGATAATGGATATTAAGCCCTAATTAAGCCATTCCAAGAAATTGCACTCCAATTCCTTTTTTTATTAGTCCCCCCACTAATCCACCCACACAAACACAAAAAGAACTTTAAACAAGGGCACAGAGGTCTTAACATAATTTCTTACCACAATCACAATTTTGCAAAAATTGAATTGATTAGCAAGTGTCGGCAGATCATCAGTATATTTTAATACCACTGACCTTGAAGTTGACATTGGCTTAACACTTATACATCTATGATTGTACAAAATGAATTGGTCAGTATGAATAGACTTTTTAAAGTTCACTCTCTGTCTGTGAAAGAAAGGCATTTGCTCTGGAATTGATCCTTTTTTTAAAAAAAAATCATCAAGCACTGAAGTAAATACAGCTGAGACTACAGAAAAGAGCTATTAAAGAATTGATAATATGTCTGTCAATGATGCTGGAACAAGATATGTTTGCACTTGTGTTTATTAGTTTGTTTATCTGTCTGTCTGTGAAACATTTGCTTTCATAAGTTTAGGTGTCCGTAAGATATTTGGCTTCTTTAGTTTGTCTGTAAGTCCATGAAATATTTGCTCATTTACTTGGTATGTTTTCCACAAATCATTGCTATTTTTAAGTTTGTCTGTGTGTCTTTGAGATATTTGTTCTTTTTTAGTTTGTTTGTCTGTCCATGAGATATTTGATCTTTTTAAGTGTGTCTGTCCATGAGATATTTGATCTTTTTAAGTTTGTCTGTGTGTCTTTGAGATATTTGTTCTTTTTTAGTTTGTTTGTCTGTCCATGAGATATTTGATCTTTTTAAGTGTGTCTGTCCATGAGATATTTGATCTTTTTTAGTTTGTCTGTCTGTCCATGAGATATTTGATCTTTTTTAGTTTGTCTGTCTGTCCATGAGATATTTGATCTTTTTAAGTGTGTCTGTCCATGAGATATTTGATCTTTTTTAGTTTGTCTGTCTGTCCATGAGATATTTGATCTTTTTTAGTTTGTCTGTCCATGAGATATTTGATCTTTTTTAGTTTGTCTGTCCATGAGATATTTGATCTTTTTTAGTTTGTCTGTCTGTCCATGAGATATTTGATCTTTTTTAGTTTGTTTGTCTGTCCATGAGATATTTGATCTTTTTTAGTTTGTCTGTCTGTCCATGAGATATTTGATCTTTTTTAGTTTGTCTGTCCATGAGATATTTGTTCTTTTTTAGTGTGTTTGTCTGTCCATGAGATATTTGATCTTTTTTAGTTTGTCTGTCTGTCCATGAGATATTTGATCTTTTTTAGTTTGTCTGTCTGTCCATGAGATATTTGATCTTTCTTAGTTTGTCTGTCCATGAGATATTTGTTCTTTTTGAGTGTGTTTGTCTGTCCATGAGATATTTGATCTTTTTTAGTTTGTCTGTCCATGAGATATTTGATCTTTCTTAGTTTGTCTGTCTGTCAATGAGATATTTGATCTTTTTAAGTTTGTCTGTCTGTCCATGAGATATTTGATCTTTTTTAGTCTGTCTGTCCATGAGATATTTGATCTTTTTTAGTTTGTCTGTCTGTCCATGAGATATTTGATCTTTTTAAGTTTGTCTGTCCATGAGATATTTGATCTTTTTTAGTTTGTTTGTCTGTCCATGAGATATTTGATCTTTTTTAGTTTGTCTGTCTGTCCATGAGATATTTGATCTTTTTAAGTTTGTCTGTCCATGAGATATTTGTTCTTTTTTTTAGTTTTTTGTCTGTCCATGAGATATTTGATCTTTTTTAGTTTGTCTGTCTGTCCATGAGATATTTGATCTTTTTTAGTTTGTCTGTCTGTCCATGAGATATTTGATCTTTTTTAATTTGTCTGTCCATGAGATATTTGACCTTTTTAAGTTTGTCTGTCTGTCCATGAGATATTTGATCTTTTTAAGTTTGTCTGTCTGTCCATGAGATATTTGATCTTTTTAAGTTTGTCTGTCCATGAGATATTTGATCTTTTTTAGTTTGTCTGTCCATGAGATATTTGATCTTTTTTAGTCTGTCTGTCTGTCCATGAGATATTTGTTCTTTTTAGTTTGTCTGTCTGTCCATGAGATATTTGATCTTTTTTAGTCTGTCTGTCTGTCCATGAGATATTTGATCTTTTTTAGTTTGTCTGTCTGTCCATGAGATATTTGATCTTTTTAAGTGTGTCTGTCCATGAGATATTTGATCTTTTTTAGTTTGTCTGTCTGTCCATGAGATATTTGATCTTTCTTAGTTGGTCTGTCTGTCCATGAGATATTTGATCTTTTTAAGTTTGTCTGTCTGTCCATGAGATATTTGATCTTTTTTAGTTTGTCTGTCTGTCCATGAGATATTTGATCTTTTTTAGTTTGTCTGTCTGTCCATGAGATATTTGATCTTTTTTAGTTTGTCTGTCTGTCCATGAGATATTTGATCTTTTTTAGTTTGTCTGTCCATGAGATATTTGATCTTTTTTAGTTTGTCTGTCTGTCCATGAGATATTTGATCTTTTTTAGTTTGTTTGTCTGTCCATGAGATATTTGATCTTTTTTAGTTTGTCTGTCTGTCCATGAGATATTTGATCTTTTTAAGTTTGTCTGTCCATGAGATATTTGATCTTTTTTAGTTAGTCTGTCTGTCCATGAGATATTTGATCTTTTTAGTTTGTCTGTCTGTCCATGAGATATTTGATCTTTTTTAGTTTGTCTGTCTGTCCATGAGATATTTGATCTTTCTTAGTTTGTCTGTCTGTCCATGAGATATTTGATCTTTTTTAGTTTGTCAGTCTGTCCATGAGATATTTTTTCTCTTTTATTATGTCTGTATGCCCAAGAGATATTTTCTCTATATTAGTTTGTCCATCCATCTGAGAGATATTTGCACCCTTTAGTTTTATATCCCTTTCCTTGAGATATTAACTATTCTCTCTCCCTGAAATACATGTATATACTCATTTTTAGTTTTTTTCCAAGTTTTTCCATGTGATATATAATCTTTTTTAGTTTGTCTGTCTGTCTGTGAGATATTTGCCTATTTGTCTATCTTAAAGGCTTCTGTCCAAATTTGTGTGTTTGCAATACTGTGGAATCATTTTAATTCATGAGGGTCAATGTTGTAGCTGTCCATGAATTTACAGTCAAAGAATTAAATAATATTTTTTTCCAAAACCATGAAAATTTGAATCCAACAAAAATTAAAATGAAATTACAGTATGTATTTGTATTTCTAATAAGTTTCTGTCAAAACCAAAATGAAAGTGCAAGGTCAGTGGGCTAGTAATATCCAGGGATATCTGTCAGTGAATCTGAAACCTGCAGAATCTTGACATAATTACAGTTTACACTTTATAGCTGGGACATAATTAACACTGATTTGTGACCTAGTGTCACTAATGCATCCATTATGGCTCCATATATCCCTACAAATACTCCGGGTGTATCAGCATTTATGGCCATTATCAATAATTCACAATGGCAATTTCCTGGTCATTGAACCAACTCTGATTTGGCGTGAATTTAGACCTTAAATAAACAAAAATATAAATATATATTCCAGTAGCAGGACTGTTTGCCCTTGACTTGAGCATTTGAGTGATTACGTGTCAATAATGCTAAAGGTCCCCTGGGAAGAGAAATTCTATCCTGAAGTCAATGAAACCATCACATTGATAACGCAGAAGTTGAAGTTATGGAGTCATTTTCTTCTAGGAATGACAGCATTTGACATTGATTAAATTGTGTGAAAACTCAGAGCACTCATTAAAAACAAAAATTAACCACATTCCTCTCATGACTATAAAATGATGTTAGTTTGAATAATGTCAATGTTGAAGTGAAAATCTGATGAGGTTTTTCAATTACGATTTTAAGCTTGCTTGTTTTTCTCTGACAGTCTTTGTTTTTATGTACAGTCGAGTGATTTTAATAGTCTTTAATTAAAATTATGCAATAAAGCTGGGAACAGCATGTGTAAACTTATTTGAACTTTATTTCTCGAAGTCATTTTGTGGCAACTGAGCTAGCAAATGTCAATGATTCATTTTCAAAGACAAGTAACAAAATAAAGTATTTTGAATTCCAAAATACCCAGTACCCAACTGGGAGTAGAGTAGCTATGCTTAAGAATACACTGGATCCATGCTCTCTTGAGGGGGAGATTAAACTATATAGTATTACATTTTCTTGGAAATATTGCTTCCTATTTTGTTTTTGCTATTTTTCCCTAATCATCTGTTCAATAGATGGCTCTGTTAACAAACAACAAATAGACTGTATGTTTACTTGGGGTTAACTTTCATAAATTTCTGATTAGAGAAACTTTACAAAAATAACCCCCATCCCAAATGTTCCTTAAGTATTACAATATCATATTTAATATTTTCTATGATCAAACTGTTTTTTTTTTTTAATTTTATGCAAATATAATTCTCACTAGGAAGGTATGGTAAACAAAAATCATCTTTGTAAAAGATGATCCCTCTAACTGCTCTAAAAATAAATCCGTGAATGAGTTTGGGTGTAGTAAATACATCAGCCTGAAATATTCCTGAGAATGATGCTAACTAATAACTCAGTAAATTAATTAAAATCCACTCACCTGATGAGATGTACCTGCTGTAGAATATAAAACCTACAGAGCTTCCACCAAAAAAACAGAAGGCAGTGATGGCTGACATCAGAAACAGAGGAACGCTCAGGAACCCGTACAATCGCCGGATCCACTCCTTTGTTAGATACCTTCTCTGCAAAAGTTGTGGAACAATTAAATCATATAAATAGAGACTTATCCAATCTTTTTAAATTTGACCTGTGCTTACGATTATAATTCTACAGAAATATTGGAAAAATTAATAATTCCAAATTTTCAAGGAATTTCTTGTTGAAGGATCATAACATACTATTCAAAATTTGAAAACCCTTTTCAATGCATCTTGTAATAGAAAGGAATATAATTTAGTCTTCCATGAAGCCTCATACCTGAATATTTATCACAGATGGGACTTCCAGAATCCCCTGGGCAATTCTCTCCACAATAACACCCACAAAATTAAAAAGTGTCCACAAAAACACATAATACTCCGAGCCATGCCACACGTAAACAAACACAAAACAGGCCACAGAAGCCAATGTCTTCCTTACTACACCACTCTCAGATCCACCCAAGGGGAAGAAGATGTATCTAAAAATAGTAACAATACAATAGAAAACAATCATACTAATAACTTAAAATGATGAAAAATATATACTTTTTTCTGAAAAAAATAACAAACATACTATCATACCTAAAATGAATGCTTAATTTGATGATTTGCACCACATTTTAAAAGCATACACAACAAGAGAAATAAGATCATTACCTTTTGATAAAACTGTACATTCCTCTGTCAAAGTATCTAGTGACAAATGAAAAAAAAAAAAAAAACATTTATAAAATCAAGTCCTCATACGCACTTGTGAATATAAAAAATTAAAAACAATCAACTGAATGGTATCTCAAAAATGAAGAAAATTTAAAAATAAAAAAATCTTAGTCTCACTTTCTATAAGCCTTATAAGTGCTTTTTTCATTTTGAGCAGATTTAAAAAAAATTTTCCATATATTCCTTTGTAAAAATTTGATCCCCCATTGTGGTTCCTCCCTATCCCAGGGGTCATCATTTGAACTTGAATCTACACTACCTGAGGATGCTTCCATATCAATATGACTAAACATAGCTTTCCTGTTCTTGAGAAGAAATATTTTTTCTATATGTTCTTATGTAAAACTTTCGATCCCCCATCCTACCCACGGGGGTCATGATTTGAACAAAATAGAATCTACACTATCTGAGGATGCTTCCACATAAATATGATCAATCAGGGCTTTGCTGTTCCTGAGAAGAAGATTTTTAAAATTTTTCCTATACATTTCTATGTAAAACTTTGATCCTCCATTGTGGCCCCATCCTACCCCCGAGGATCATGATCTGAATAAATTTGAATCGACCCTACCTGAGGATGCTTCCATATAAATATGAACAATCTGGGCTTTGCTGTTCCTGAGAAGAAGATTTTTCCTATATATTTCTACGTAAAACTATGATCCTCCACTGTGGTACCGCCCTACCCCCGGGGGTCATGATTTGAACAAACTTGAATCTACACTACCTAAGGATGCTTCCATATAAATATGACTCATCATGACTTTGTTGTTCCTGAGAAGAAGATTTTTAAAGATTTTTCCTATATATTTCTATGTAAAACTTTGATTCTCCATTGTGGCCACGCCCTACCCCGGGGGGTCATGGTTTGAACAAAATAGAATCTACACTACCTGAGGATGCTTCCATATAAATATGACTCATCGTGGCTTTGCTGTTCTTGAGAAGAAGATTTTTAAAGATTTTTCCTATATATTTCTATGTAAAACTTTGATCCTCCATTGTGGCCACGCCCTACCCCCAGGGGTCATGGTTTGAACAAATTTGAATCTACACTACCTGAGGATGCTTCCATATAAATATGACTCATCATGACTTTGCTGTTCTTGAGAAGGAGATTTTTAAAGATTTTTTATTATATATTTCTATGTAAAACTTTGATCCTCCATTGTGGCCCCGCCCTACCCCTGGGGGTCATGATTTGAACAAACTTGAATGTACACTACCTGAAGATGCTTCCACATGAGTTTCATCTTTCCTGGCCCTATGGTTCTTGAGAAGAAGATTTTTAAATGATGCATTTATTTTTTCACTAATTCTTAATTATCTCCCCTTGAAAGAGGGCGTGGCCCTTCATTTGAACAAACTTGAATCCCCTTCACCCAAGGATACTTTGTGGCAAGTTTGGTTGAAATTGGCCGAGTGGTTCTTGAGAAGAAGATGAAAATGTGAAAAGTTTACAACAACAACGACAACAACGACGACAGACAACGGACAAATTTTGATCAGAAAAGCTCACTTGAGCCCTTGGCTCTGGTAAGCTAAAAATTAGAGGCCAATGGACCACAACATTCACCTGAGTAAATTGCCCATTGTGGCCCAAACAACTTAAACAACAACTTAAATCTACACTACCTAAGAATGCTTCCATATTAATATGACTTATCACGCAGCACTGTTAAGGCGTACTTCGAAGAAATCAACAGAATATAAACGTGCATAAATACATACATTATTAAAATGAATTTTAATTTTGTAAAGGTACTATATTATCTTATGACTTTAATATTCTTTGAAATAACATTGTATACCCCGCTCTGTAGTGAATTTAGTTTGGTCACGTTATTTGATAGTCACGTGATAAATGCATGTAATGTGTACTGTATGTAGGTCAGAAACAAATTTCAATATCGCAAGGGCATCAGGGTTCTCACTAGGATTTTGCTAACTTGAGTCCCAGGACTCAAGTTTTCTGAGAAGGTTGCGTCCCAGCTAAATTTGATGCGTCCCAGAAAAATTATGTTGAGTCCAAACTAAAATATTGCAGTATTCTTCCATCCAAACATCAATAAAAATCTTTATCATTTTATCAGTTTGTTTACGCAATATTAACATATTCAAGTATATAAACTGGTAATGCATTCAAGCCATATTCTAAAATACACGCGTAATCAATTGCCATAAAAATAACTTGGTGTTTATAAAGCTAAAATTAACTGTTGCATAATCAACTAGTACCCAAAAGTTGACTGTGTACAATCACAGGTGTCATGTGCAATGAGGCGTAACTAATCCTGTCGGTCGTCTGCACTGGGTGAAATTCACGAGATAATCAAGCCCCATTGTGTATACAAGCAGTAATTATGGTTTCTGCATGTAGATAACACTCAAGATTCAAAAGTGTTTTTTTTTTTTAAGTTTGGCATGCGACACTATTATGACTGGACTAATAAACAAGAAATATCTTATGATCAATCCCTGTTTAAAAAAGTGAAATAAGTACAAGAAAAGTTGTTTCTTGGATAAACTTTATGATAGTTACATGAAGGTTTCGATTAAATATTTCTTTGACAAATCCTAACATCTAAATTCCCCGTTTTCGAAATCTCCCGAATTTTCTCGCTAACGAGGACGCGTCCGATCACGAGTCCGCGGACGCATCGTTTTTAAGAACCTTGCGTCCCAAGGAATTTTGCTGCGTCTAGGACGCAGATTCTTGCGTTAATGAGAACCCTGGGCATACCCTAGTTAAAATTAAAAATTAAAGTATTAGATTGTTTCTACATAACTTGTAGTTTATGGAAAGTGCTGCTGCTTTAAATAGAATTCGCATTTTATTAGTTTAAATTTCAAGTTATCTTGCTAATGTCGAAATATGTGTGACCTTTACCAAGTATTTTATGTATTTATTAAGTTATGCTATCGATTTCAGGAAAGCAGCAGCACTTTTCAAGTTAAGGAATATGTCCATTATGTGTATTCAAAAAATGGTCAAGATCTATTAAGTGTATGCCCTTGCGAAAAGGCGATTTAATGAAGCACCTCGGCGTGAAACATGCACACCCTGTATACAAAAACACGGTAGAATTAATTCAGTACATTCTCTCGATATTTTTTTAAATAATGGCACCAAACAAACGTTTCAGATTTGTATAAATGGTCTACCTAAGATTTTCAAATAATGTTCTGTTTGATAATAAAATGCATTTTTCACTGTGAAAAAATTACTTGATCCGCCTCTCACTGCACATAAAATGCGTCAAACTTTACCATGATGACGTCATGTCGACAAGTGCATTGCGATCAGTGACTTGTTTATATCTTGCTGTGTGGGATTTAACTAGCGACAAAAATGAATGCATTGGTAAGTTTTGATGTAGTTCATTACTCTTAAGCAGTTTAGATTCGCAAATTATTTCATTTTCTGTTATTGTGAGGAATTGCTATATTTGTGTGATGTCACAGTAAACTTTTCCCGTATAAATTAGGCCCCGCCCCCTTTATGCAGCCTTAACAGAGCTGCGCAGAGCTTTGATGTTCAAAAGATTAAGATTTTCAAAGATTTTTTTCTTACGTATATATTCTTATGTAATAGTTTGATCTCCTATTATGGCCAAAACCCTACTCCCAGGCCTCAAGATTTGAACAAACTTGAATCTACACTACCTGAGGATGCTTCCATATAAATATGTCTTATCATAACTTTGCTTTTCTTGAGAAGAAGATTTATAAAGATTTTTCCTAGTATGTATTCCTATGTAAAATTTTGATTGCCCATTGTGGCTCCAACCTACCCCCAGAGGTCATGGTTTGAAGAACTCTGAATCTACATTTATATATTTACCAGATGATGCTTCAGTATTAATATGACTAATCATGACTTTGTTGTTCCTGGGAAAAAGGATTTTTAACGATTTTTCCTATGTTTTCCAAGTAAAACTTTGATTGCCCATTGTGGTCCCACACTACTCCTAGAGGCTATGATTTGAACAAACTTGAATATACACTACCTGAGGATGCTTCCATGTAAATATGACTGAACATGGATTTATTGTTCTTGAGAAGATAATATTTAAAGATTTTTCCTATATATTCCCATGTAAAACTTGATTGCCAATAGTGGTAGAATAGTTTGATCAAACTTGAATTTACACTTTTCCAGGAAGCTTTCACATAGGTTTCATCATTTCTGGTCCAGTGGTTTGTGAGAAAAAGATTCTTAAATGACCCATCCAATTTTCATTATTTCTTAATTATCTCCTCTTGGAAGAAGGTCCAAAGAATGCTCTGTGACAAGTTTGGTTAAAATTGGCCCAGTGGTTCTGGAGAAGAAGATGAAATTGTATAAAAGTTTACGACGATGACAACGACAGACGATGGACAAATTTTGATCAGGAAAGCTCACTTGAGCCTTCATCTCAGGTGAGCTAAAATGTAATCAGATGAAAGGACAGACAAGTGAAAGACAACAGGTGTTCAGAAAAGCTGACTTGAACCTTTGGTTCAGGTTAGCTGAAAAACAGTGCACAGACTCACTTCCACATTTCCGAGTAGGTGTAGATGTAAGCCACACATCTAGGACCTGGGGGAGGATCCAACTTCTCCAGGTGAGCCACACTGGCCGGTACCCCATAGAGAACTGTGTACTTATTCATAAAGAACTGACCATTCCAGTAGCCGACTCCAGCCAGGGTCCATAGGTCCAAGCGATTCATAAGTGTGTTGTTCTGCTGAATGGCATTGAAATACAGAAAGTGAAGAAGGAATTCATTTACAGCTCCCCAGAGCAGGAATCTCACTACATTCAGAAATAAATAGGGCAGACTGCTGGAATCTGACTTGCAGAAATTGTTCATCTGAAAAAATATCCAAATATAAGTCATTATCACAATATAATATATGCATTGTAGAATAGGACTGTGTAAAATAAACAGTTGCCATTCACTAAAATCATAGTACTGTAAGTACTCTTAGGTCTGATAGCATCAAGACAAAAGTTTCACTTTATTTACCTCTATTTACAAAACATAATAATGTGATTCAAATAGCGACACAACACAAAATTTTCCCTCCAATTATGCACAGTATCTCATCTTTGTAATTTCCTCCAACACTCAGCCATTCAAGATAGCCTCCATACAATGTTCAAATATTTAATTGAACAAAAGCAATTTATTATACTGTATCTCGCAAAAATACATCCCGGTAATTTGTTTAATGATATAATGGTTACCATGCATAATGTATATCAATTTCATTGAAGCATTTTTTAGGATGTAGAAAAACTAAATAGAATATGCAACTTCAGAGTGACAGCATATGACGGTTGAACACAATTCAATTCCTGAAAAATTCTTCTTGAAAATTTAGATAAAATTTATGTACATACCTGTTTTTTGAATGCGTTGAAAGTCAACAGTGGTCCCGTGAAAAAGAGAGGTAGGTAGAACACATAAAACACCATATCAATAAACCCCTTCCCACAGACTGGGGGCGTCCCTATGTCTACTGTGGAGTTAGGTTCTTCATTTTGTGTTTCACTGTTGTCAGACATCAAATGACCTTGACCTTTACTGGATTCTTCCTGCACTTTGTAGTCATGGAGACACTTTTCCAGACAGAAGCTAGTGTAGCGGAGGTGAGTGAGAGCCAGGGTGTACACCATTAGGTAAAACTCCCCATCACGCTCCTGACAACACCAGTCACGCTAAATCAGATTAGAATATTTTTGTTAACTTTAAATCAAGAAGTTGTTGCATTATCATTAAAAACCCCATAAAACAACTTTTACAGGATTTGTCTCTTTTTTTTTAATTTTGGAAATTCCATAAAAAATGTAAATAATCAAGTTGGTAAATATTTTTCTACCAAAAATTTGACAACTTACCATAAGGGAGTAAGTATAGTCCACATTAAGTGTCATTAGGAGGGAAAGGGAGGTAATCCAGACAATTACGAATGATCGGGAGAAGGAAATGAGAAACATGAACAAACAGTGACAAGTAAACAAAACAATAGTCCTCCAACCCATCAGATACAGGAGAACACCACAGGAGTAGATTAGATCCACCCATCTTCTCTTCTGTAAGAAAATCTCAGTTGTAGCCACTTGTTCAAAGAGAGATAACTCAAACACATATTTGAATATTAAGAGAGAATTTAATCAAATTTCAAATATTAATTATCTTAAAGTATTTAAATTGAACATCTTTTTAACCAAATCTACCTCAATAAAATTCCACTCAATGATTTTTGACAAGGCCACATGACCTACATAAAAAGGCAAGACCACCCAGAACCAGTTGTAAAAGTAATGCCATTCATAATTGGATACATCCTGGAAAAAGAGGTAAAATTAAATATGGAGAAAATAAGTTTTTAAAATTTGGTCTTTTTTAACTGCACACTCAAGGCAGTAATAAATTATATAACTTGTATTCCAACATTAATCTGACAGACTTAAATAGAATCAAACCAATAAGCAGTATTTTAAATACATGTAGTACGTTTTGAAGTAATTATAATTTTATTTATAGTCAGGGATTTATCAGTACCCTCTCAGGGGCCAAAATTCGGCCCCATTTCCAATTGAAAATACGTTAAATTTTTCCCAATTTGGCAGTATTTTTTCCCAATTGCTAAACAATGCTTTTATATTTAATAAACACTAAATAAAATTGTCCAATTGTCTGTAATTTTCCTCTGATTAACTCATTTAGCAAAGCTACAGCCATAACACGTTTTAAAAAACACTGTAATACATCGCCGACTTTTAATCCGAATTTCCTCCGTTTTTCTGAAAATGGCAATATTGTGTTATTATGTAGATGTATTAAGTTATTTCCACCTACTCAATTGATCTTCAAGGGAATGGTAAGAACTGTTAGGCATTTATTTTAGATGGAAAAATATATTTTCAATGCATTTTTAGCTCACCTCGACGAAGTCAAGATGAGCTTATGCTATACCCCCGGCGTCGGTGTCGGCGTTAGCGTCGGCGTCCCGGTTAAAGTTTTAGGAGCAAGTCCAATTCTCAAGTAACTATAAGCCCTACCTGGACCACACTTGCTTTGGATGCTGGATCTGACCTAGATTTTCCACATGAATGAATTTTAGCCATTTTTTAACCAAATTAGCATGGATGATGTTTCTAGGGATGGACACTTCCTGACTTGCTTTGGATTTTGAATCTGACCTACATTTTCCAGATGAGTGACCAGAGTAATTTTTTTGGAGAAGCTTTATAATATTGTGGCCTGTTTTGATTAAACTTGCATAGATGGGGCATCTAAGGATGAAAACTTCCAGACTTGCTTTGGATGTTGGAACTGACCACAATTTTCTTGATTACTAAACAGGTTAAAAGTTTATTGAGCAGGTTTATTTCCAAGTAACTATAAGTTCTACTTAAACCAAACTTGCATGTATATTGATCTTGGGATGTACCCTATTTAGGAAAAAAAAATATTATGTGAAATTTGCCTTACTTATAGATAACATTTGTCGAGATGAGCTTCATAATCTTTGATTACCTATGTTTACATATTAAAATGGAACTTAGTATAATTTTTTTTTGCAGGAGGTTTATAATCTCCAGTAACAGATAAATTCTAATGACCTAAATTGGAATCTCATACACACATGTACTACCCTAAGTTGTATCAATACTTTATACTCATTGAAGTCATATTTAGTGTTATTTAAGTGTATTATTCTGATAATTGATCTTGTATGATGAAGTTGGATCATTAATTTGTCTGTTTGATTGCCCAAATTAGAATTCATGCTGAAATGTTAAATGAATTAAATTACATTGAATTACATTTGAATACATGATGTAAGCAAGATTTTCCATTTTTCCCAATTTCATCAAATAGCCAATAATTTTTTCCCAATTCCCTCAAAATGGCATTTCCCAAAATAGGCTGATAAATCCCTAATAGTGTAACTATGTAAAATGTAGTCATATTAATAATTTTATCATATTTTCATTGTTAAATGTCTGTCATTATGAAATACCTTACCAGCTAATAATTCTTTTTACACTAAATTACCTTATCAGCTCCAATCCACTTCCATCCTGCCTCAAAAGCATAAATATTCAGCGCTCCGTCATATTCTTTATAGAACAAAAGTAAAAAATAACATTCAGTGAAATTGATAGCTAGAGAGAAAGAGAGAGAGCAAATAACAGTTTTGGAGCTTTAGTTTTGTTTTGTTTTTTTATCAGATGTTACCTCTAGATGCTCTGTAGACCAGCCAGGTAATGTATACGACAGCACTGACGTGTACCCCACGGTAAAACTGGACCTCTGGCCAGGGCAGGGGGTGGATCCGAGATCTCCTAGACATTACACCACTGATGGAAAAATATTTAATCATGTTAATTACAAGTCAAACAAACACAACAACGGAGAAAATACAACAAAACAAACCAGGTTTTAAACTTTGGGCACCTGAATTCTGAACAGATGTTCTATCAACAGTATTTTTCCCTACTTTTGCAACTGAATTATCCAGTGATTTTTTTTAATTTGATTTTTATATTCTTATCATGATTGTCAAAGATGAACATCTACAACACCAATAAGGAAATAGAAAACATGAAGCAAAGATAAGACCATGCAGGCTTGATCTAAGACTGGCCCATCATTCAAGACAGGTGTTTTAGTGTGAATAGAGGTATCCCATGGAATCCAAGATGGTGAGTGTCCACCCTTCACTCTTTTTGTGTACATATAAAAAGTGATGTACATGCATACAGATTAAGTATGATACTAATTTCAGCCATTTTTGATTTTTATTTTAATCAATGTATTCAGACAGACATAGAAAAACAAAACATAAAATGCAATGCCCTATGAATTTTACAAGATTTGTAAGTAAAACAAGCTTTTTATCAATATATCAACTGTGACAACAGCACTGCATCAGGTTCAATATATATCTTAGGAGCACCAGTGGGATGACTGATGGTTTACATGTTTTCTTATGTATTGTATTTTCGGTCTATTTTTACATTATCTTTGAATTATTGCAAACTTTTACAATATATGAAAAAATTCAGAGGCTGATCGAGTGTATAACGCATATATCTGTTATATCTGAATATTTTATGTTATATATATATATATATATATATATATATATATATCTGTTTCAGTTAATAAAATAATAATATCATCAAAAGTATAGTTTTGTGTTAACTTTATTTATATGTCATCATTAGAGTAGGCTGGGTGCAATCATCTTTGCAAAAATGAAAGCATCTTTGTGTTTTCCACCTTATTAAAATCTGGACTCCCAGTCAGTATTGATAGGGAATAACTGTAGGATATTCTATGCAACAAAAACATTTCCATAATTTGTCTTCAATAAAATTTTAACAAGCATATTTTTTTCATTGACTGCACTCCTTCCTCACTGCAAGTATCCTTTTACTTTTTTTTAATGAAATAATGTTGCAATAAATTTTTTCACTTAAATTCTATAAGACAACGGCCAGATAATATACATTTGATCCACCCCTTTCACTGTCATTTTTCAAGCGTATCTTGGTGACAAAGATATAAATTTCGCTCGGAAAAAATATTATTTGGTACATACCTCTGACTGGATCATCCAAACAGCCCCCGTTTTCTATTTGTATGTGAGTCTGTAGTTTCCATCAGGAAACTTTATATTGTATCTGTATGTGAGTCTGTAGTTTCCATTAGGAAACTTTATACTTCGTCACCAATATGCATCTAGAAGACCTACACAATATATTCACTAGGCTGTCATGTGTTTATGCAGATCATGCCTTCCTCATTTTCTACTTTCATTTTACGAAAGAAACTTTCTATCTCCAAAACTAAAGAGTTCTCCCGCGAATTTCAAATTTCCAAAATTATGTTAAGAACTACAAAGATATATACTTTTAACAGGGACTTATATACTATATAGTATATAGGTCCCTGCATTTAAAGACATTTGCATGTAAATATTTTTTCTGATCTGTTGGAAAAGATAGACTTTTACTATATACGCAAAAGTGATGTCTTGTATAATATTGTGGCAGTCAGCCACAATATAATAGAGATAGCTCAGTTGAATATATATATATATTATATATATATATATATATATATATATATATATATATATATATATATATATATATATATATATATATATATATATATATATATATATATATATATATATATATATATATATATATAGCACCTGACTGGAGATTCAGGGGGCCAATGGGTTCGAATCCTGGTCTAGTCCGTGGCATATATTTAAAAGAAAAAGGGTGCTCTTAAACCACTGAGCTACCTAGGTTGATATCCATGGTCCATATAGCCCAATTACTATAAAAAGTGGGGGGGGGGATGTTATAATCCAAGTTCTGATTGTTAGTTTCCCAAATAAAGTCAAACCTCATTATCTCAAACTCAATGGCACCGAAAAAAACTTCGAGACATCCGATGATTCATGATATTGAGGGTAAAATACTTAAAGAATAAGTGGTTGGGACTTCCAAATCACTTCAACATATCCATGGCATTCCAGATATCAGTGTTCAAGATGCTGAAGTTCAACTGTAATTTTTCAAAGCATTTTCCTAGCTTATTCCCATGCTTGACTTTAATTATAAAAAAAAAAGATGCAAGGCATATTTGCTTGAAATGTACACAATGAGGTAACGAAATTTCAAACTTGCTAATAAATTTCATAATTCTTTGTACTCCCAAGTCATGGAACCAATCCATACTGATGATCATTTTCAGCTGTTAACAGAATACTAGAATGCATGGTCATTTTGATTTGAACCTATACATGAGAAACAAAAAAGGAAAATAATTGCAGAATAATTTATTATTTTCAGCTGATAGTACAGATTTTTGTGAACAACATATCTTTGCAAAAATAAGCACAAAAATTAATTGAAGAACTGCAGCATTAAACAGAAAAATAATAGAATAAATCATTCAGTTTTACTGAAACAAAATACAGTCAAACCTGGTTATCTCGAACTCAATGAGACGGAGGAAAAACTTAGAGAAATCCGAGGATTCGAGATATTGAGAGTAAAATACTTAAAGAATAAGCAGTTGAGACTTCCATATCACTTTGACATATTCATAGTATTCGAGATATCAGTGTTCGAGATACTGAAGTTCAACTGTAGATGCATTATACACAAATCATAAGTCGCTACTGGTAATCAAGGAAAGCTTTATGTGTTAATCCAGACTTTTAACAATTGGACAGCCATTAAATCACAAAAAAAAATCAGATTAAAGATATTCTTCCTATACATATCAATTGTAATTAAGCAAAATTAAGTAAATCATCTATCGAGCTTGAATGACTAGGTTTCAATATAAATCTTTTGATCAGCAAAGTATGGATTTCATACATGAGTATTCAGCTTTATTGTTAGGTTTACACAATGTACAATCATATAGAACTTTCTTTTCTCTGCATTTTTTACCACTTGGTTTATAATATTAGAAAACACTATGAAATGAATGCATTTGAGAAAGTAACTAGAACTGTAGATACAAATAAATGAAATATATGTAAAAATGTTAATAAAAACCAAAAAAAAAAAAAAATAGACAAAAACATACAAGAGAAAAATCAAATCAATGAAAAGAAGTAAAAAACAGGATGTTCAATATTCTTGATAATTGATCCCATTTCACCTTAGTTTGCTTTATGACTAACCTATCTTATAAATATAAAACATAATGCTTTTCACACCTTGACCCTATATAAACCCAGTACACATATATGTAAGATATATGCTTATACAGGACTATTTTCTCTAATCATTTACAGCAGAATTGGGTTCACAAAAATAATTCAAAGGAAAAACAATATTTTTTAAACCAATAACATGATTTCATTATATTGAAGAAAAGTATTTTTACCCAGTCATCAGAAAAGAATTACAACATAATTTTAACAGATAACGATAACCTATCTGTGTGAATTCTCTGTATTTACCATGCAAAAATGGAGACAACACCATTAAATGCTGTAACAAGTGATGACTACACTGAATTTAATGTCTTATATTTAAAAGATATAACTTTTGTATGATTGTACCAATGCAGTTGTAAAGAGAAACAAGCACCTGTCCCTTTGATACACAATAAAGCAGCGTTAACACTGTATATATGGCACAAGCTTGTAAGCTGCCAGAGTCCCTAATCGTCCAATTCCTGGAACTTGATGTTGTGTTCAGAGAGTCTCTGGACTAGGGTAGTGTCCTGGAAGGCAGCACCGGGGGCTAAAACTCCACCCCTAGGGTTAAGAAAATACACATTACTAAGGAAGAACTCTAAATTAAGACACCAGGGGCTAAAATTGCAACCCTGTGGTCAAGAGAATACACATTACTAAGGAACAGTAAAAAGACACAAGGGTCCAGTCCTCGACCCCTAGAGTTAGGAAAATACATGGTCTAAGGAACAGTAAATCAAGACACTATATACATGTAGTTAAATCAATTGTCTCTCATTCTGGACAAGAAAGAAGTCTAAGGCCCAAAGGAAAAAAAATAAATTTGTAACATGTAGATGAAGAAGAAACTAAAGAATTCCAAAATTCCTCTGTATTAACTAAAATTTTTAAGTCTTTGGAAAACTGACTCCTTTGGTATTTTTATCATACTGTATTATAGTAAATACTCATGTGCTTCTTTAAACAGTACCATACAGCCAAACATGACTTACTTTCCAGGGAGTTTATCCGTCTCCTTCAACACAACAACAGCAGCTTGTACCATACAGATAGGAGTCGTCACGTATCCAACCTCTGAAAAATATATTATCTTGATAAGATGTAAATTTGATCTCTTAAGGACAGATGATACAAACAAAAAATGGATGCCTGGATTGGTATATATATTTGGACCTCTTTTGTTTGTCAAGTTGAAGTGTCTTTTTGGTCCAATTTTGCTCCGCAAGCTATGTAATGTAATAATTGTTTGTATTTTATGTAACAAATACATTTCTTTTGAAAAATCATAAGAGTTAGAGAACCATTTTATATGAGTGCAGAGCAGAGGGTTTATGAACCTTAATGCTCTAAGTCATTGACATATTTTTTATATCTTGGATATTTGCTAACTGGCCTGCTTCAGATATCTCTGCCCTGACAAACACTGAAATACATCACTCACCTGGCCCCGTTACCTTGGTGATTTTCACCGTGTCAGGAGGTGACTGGGGCTCTTCATCAGTTTTGTTCTTCCAGCCTCTGGAGACAAATGTCATGGAGAAACTACAGGTCTCAATCTGTTGACAAAATGGAAAATATGTTCACATTTCAATTTTTTTCATTTTGTCATTGTGAAAGGTTCTAACTCTGTGCATTTATAAGAAAATCAATACAATCCTCTAAAATTTGTGGTAAAGAATACTTATGAATCCAAAATAATTAAAGTTCCACCAAACATACTGATTCCTCAATTTCAATTTTC